GCTACCAGAGCTCCTACTTGTCAATAATTACACTGAATGTTAAAGGATTAAATGTGCCACTCAAGAGACAAAGAGTTGCAGATTTGATAAGAGAACAGAATCCACCAATATGCTGTCTACAAGAGACACACCTGAGAGACAAAGACAAAAACAGACTAAAAATCAAAGGTTGGAAAGATATATCAAGCAAATGGAACCATAAAAGAGCAGGAGTGGCAATATTAAATTCTTTTTTTAAAATTGTGATTAGGGTGAAAATTTACAGAGCAAGTTCATTTTCCAGAAAGCAGTCACACACACTGTCTCATGGCACTGACCACTATTTACCACAAGGCAACAGCTCCCCTTCCACATCCTCCTGATAGTCATAGTCACCTCTTCCCTGTGTCCATCTCTCCACGTACCCCTGTCCCTTGAGCTGTCTCCCAGTGTATCAATAGCCCTTCTTTCTCCCATGATTGTTCTTTCCAAGGAGTGTATCCACTTTAGGTAAATGTTCAACTCCTATGCCTGTCTTTTGTTTGGCTGGAAGCCACAGGTGTGGATTCAATTCCAGACCTGAAGGGCAACTAGGGGGCCACAGTCTCAGTGGTTCCATCAGGCTCTACTGCACCAGCAAACCTGGTCCACCCTCCTTTTTTTTTTCCAAATGCTTTTGAGTTTTGTTCCACATTGTTCTCCCTCTCTATCCAGGATCTCCTACATGTATCCCCCTCCGAGTGGTTGACATTGGTAGCCGGACACCATCTAGTTCTTCTGGTCTTACAGTCGTATAGGCTGCTGATAGCATGGTATACCAGTTACTAGAACTAATTCTTTCCAGGAATCTTTGGTTTTCTTCATTCTTCATTGCGCTGTACGAAGAGAGACCCATCGTTGCATCTAGATGGAGTGCTTGCAGGCTTTTAAGATCCCAGTCGACACTCGCCAAAGTAGGAGATGGTACCATGTTTTGTGTAGTATGTTATGCCAAATGAGCTTGATATTCCCTGTGACTATGGTCCTGAGTCCACAAGATCAACTACTTGGTCCCTCTGGGTAGCTGGCTGTGACCAAGAAGTGAATACAACTTTGTTCCTTGTCAACTCTACTATACACCTGGGAATTCACATCATACAAATACACTTATAGGACCCTTATCTGCTAACCCTATACATGGTCTTGGGTACACTCCTCACTGTACAGACATACCTAACAGTTCAGCCTGCCCACCCATCTGTCCACCCGTATACCCATGTTGCCTTCACTGACAACACAGACTGTATGTGTAAAGGGTTCATCTCAACTCCAGAATTATTTCTGTCACTAAGGCCACATTTCCAACTACCAGTGACTCTTTTGTGTTTCCAACTTTTGCATTCCAGTGACCGGTGACAATGAACAGATCTTGATTGCACATTCAGTCACTTTCAGACTGCAGAAGTTGATAAAAATCGTAAATTTAATCATCTTTGGCTTTGGAGGTTGGTGCATAAATTTGAATAATAGTCGTATTAACTGGTCTTCCTTGTAGATGTATGGATATTATTCTATCACTGACAGCATTGTACTTCAGGACAGATCTTGAAACATCCTTTGTGATGATGAATGCCACGCCATTCCTCTTCAAATTGTCATTCCAGGGGTAGTAGACCATATGGTTATCTGATTCAGCATGGCCAAAACCAGTCCATTTCAGGTCACTAATGCCTAGGATATCAATCTTTAGGTGTTCCATTTCATTGTTGACAATTTCCAATTTTCTTGGATTTATACTTCATACATTTCATGTTCCTGTTATTAATAGATGTTTGAAGCTGTTTCTCCTCAATTTGAGTTGTGCCAAGTCAGCAAATGGAAGTTTTGAAAGCTTTACTTTATCCCTATCAGTAAGGCTGGTCCTACTTGGATGATGCAGCTCTTTCCTATTTTGAGCGCCTTCTAACCCAAGGGGCTCGTTCTCCTGCACTGTTATCGGATAATGTTTCTGGGGTATTCATAAAGTTGTGCAATAGTGTATCAGACAGTGTTTCTCTGCTATTCATGAGGTTTTTCCTGGCCAATTCTCTGAGAAGTGGGTGGCCTCTTCCTTCTTCCTACTCTGTCTCAGTCTGTAAGCTGCACTGAAACCTGTATATCATGTGCAACCCTGCCAGCACTTGAAACCCTGGTGGCACACCTTCAAGTCTCACAGCAACATGCAACCCACAACAGTACGACAAACTGACAGACAAGTTTGTCTTGCTTACCTGTTCGAAACCTCTCTGCCCTCCCTTACCTGGACCCCTGGCTCTGCTCTGCTGCCCCCTCTGGCTTCCTTTCCCCCACTTTCCTGGTTGGTGGGGGTGGGGCCTGGGTCCCTCCCCTCACCTGGATCCCTGGCTGCAGCTCCAGTATCTTCCCCTAACTTCTTTTTGCCCCCCTTCGCTGTCTGGTGGGGGTGAGGCCTGAAGTTTAATGAACCCCTAATCTGTGAGTGTGGTCTGCGAGCTCTGTGTGGCCACTGCAATGGGCCACTGAACCAGCAGAGAAGCAGGGTGCTGGAGGACTCTTAGGCCCCCCTTGTGGTACATGTCAGGCCCGTGAAGTTACACAGGCTGTGATCTACTGCAACTCGCTTTCACAAGTCTGGGCTTTTTCCAGACCTGGCCCTGAACACATGCATTTACCTGCCATGGGTAAAAAAGAGGCGTTTGGTCCAAGGGGACCCTCAGTGGAGCGACGATGACCAACTCAAACAGCAGCCCCAGGAGGAGAGGGACGACACCTGCCAGCAGCACCGCGACGACCAGTGTCTTCATTATCTGTGGGGACAGGCCTGTCATTAGCAGCGCTTGTTCCGACTGTCAGCCAGACTCCAGCCCTTCTGAAGCCCAGGCCCTTCGTTTACCAGAGTCCCCAGCAGAGCACATGTTCTCACAGTCATATGTTCACACACGACTTCCTCCACCGAAGCCTGAGGACGCTCAGACCCCAACAGAGACCCGAGTCCCCTGTGCATCACTGTGACGGGGGGCACAGCACCTCCTCAGCCTCTACTGGGCTAGGGGCTGGCTGTGGTCCTCAGGATGGAGCTCTTGTCACATGGCCCCAGGGGAGATGCTGGAGCACGCTGACCACCTGGACAGTCCCCTCGGAGATGCTGGCTGACAGCCCTCACTCTGGCCCAGTGGCCACCAGCACAGGGCTACTACGCGAGGCAGTGTAGTTCCAGAATCGGGAGGGGAGAGCAGGGGCCCTGTGCGAGCCCCCGAGGCCCTGAGCAGAGCCATCCTCAGCGTGGCCTGGCCCCTGTGCCTGACCACCATCTCCCTTCTCTGAAGGTGCCTCCATGAGCTCAGCTCCTTCAGAAGCAAGAGACCAATGGGGTATCCATGGAAGACCACCATCTGCTTCCTGCCAGGGCACCGTAACAGTGCCACAGAGGAGCACAGCTGAAAAGCCAAGCAGCAGGTGTAGCTGGCCCTTGTTACCTCACAGGTGAAGTCACACTTCAGCTCTGTCCCCCGGCACACCATGAACCTCCCACTACACAAATGCAGGGGTGGAAAAACAGATCTCACGTTTTTCTTTTCATACTATGTTAAACCAAAACCAAATCCACTGCCATCAAAGTCAATTCTGACTCATGGTGACTCCAATGGGTTTCCAAGATCGTAAACCTTTACAGAAATAAACTGCCCCATCTTCCTTCTGTGGAGTAGCTGGTGGGTTTGAACCACCAATCTTATGGTTAGCAGTCAAATGTCTTAGACACTGCACCACCAAGTAGCACACGAGCCTTACAGTGAAATTAAAATAGGATCAGACACAAACTAGCATCAGGTATACAACAAAAAGTCATAAACAGTGAGCTGGTGGTAACTGACATCACAAACATGACAAACAGGTCATCATCATCTCCTCCCCACCTGAGTGGGGTCACACTCTGCAGTGGATGACTGGACCCAGCAGAGCGGCACGGAGTGCGGGGGTACTCGGCTGGTGTCTGAACTGGTGGACAGGAGAGTGACATCTCCACCACTCCTAACACCTTCCCAGCAGCCCAGATGCTCAAGTCTGCAACTGACCACGAACCTCAAGGGACCGGGGTTGACACCGCGAGGGACAGGGGCCCACTGTGAGGGACAGGGACTGATACCATGAGGGACAGGACCGACTCTGGGAAGGAGAGGAACCAACTATGGGGGACAGGGGGCAACTATGGGGGACAGGGGGCAACTATGAGGCACAGGGGCTGAATATGGGGGACTGGGACTAACACCATGATGGACAGGGGCCGACTACAGGGGACCAAGGCTAACACTGAGAGGGACAGGGACCAACTACTGGGGATAAGAACCAACTATGGGAGATCCAGGGCTGACTCTAGGGCAGGACGTTGAGGGACGGGGCTGACTATGGGGGATGGGGGTCAGCTATGGGGGACAGGGGCTGACACCGTGAGGGAGAGGGAGCAACACTATGAGGGACCAGGGCTGACTATCAGGGACAGGCATCGACTGTGAAGGACTGGCACCTACCATGAGGGACCACTCCTTGACCTTCTGGAAGATGACCCTGCGCCCCTGCGGCGTCCATGCCACCAGAACGGTCACGGCCCTGATGGTCAGCCAGCAGACGTAGAGGCCGCAGGCTGCCGTGTAGAGCTCGTGTATCTTGGCGGTCCCTGTCCAGAAGGACATCAGCCAGCGGCCGGCGAATACTGAAAGCACCCCATATCCAGTCAGAAACAAAGGACAATGACTCCCTGCTAACACGACTAACATGACACACCTAGCAGATCACCCTTCTAAACCAGAGCCAGCTGCCGAGAAGGGGCCGTGACCTACCTGGCAGAGTAAGGCAGACGAGGCTGGCGGTCAGCAAGGTCACGCACATGAACACAATCAGCAGGAATATCTGCAGGGAGACACAGGGTGGGCGTCAGAACTCGGTCCTCCCATCCCCTCAGAGCCTGGACATCCGCCTCCAGGCAGCCCTCCACATCACACAGCAAGGCCGCTTGTATTGTAGGTGGATTATCTATAACTAAGGTCAGGAGGAAAATTAGCACCTGTGCCCACGACATCAAATACAAGGGAGACACAGGGTGGGCGTCAGAACTGTCCTCACCCCCTCAGAGCCTGGACATCCGCCTCGAGGCAGCCCTCCACGTCACAAAGCAAGGCCGCCTGTATTGTAGGCTATTATCTATAACTAAGGCCAGGAGAAAAATAAGCACCTGTGCCCACGACATCAAATACAAGGGAGACACAGGGTGGGCGTCAGAACTGTCCTCACCCCCTCAGAGCCTGGACATCCGCCTCCAGGCAGCCCTCCACGTCACACAGCAAGGCCGTCTGCATTGTAGGCGATTATCTATAACTAAGGTCAGGAGGAAAATAAGCACCTGTGCCCACAACATCAAATACCAGGGAGACACAGGGTGGGCGTCAGGAACTCAGTCCTCGCCCCCTCAGAGCCTGGACATCCGCCTCCAGGCAGCCCTCCGTGCCACACAGCAAGGCCGCTTGTATTGTAGGCGATTATCTGTAACTAAGGTCAGGAGAAAAATAAGCACCTGTGCCCACGACATCAAATACAATGAGTGACCAACAGACACACATTTATGTCAACACGGAGTGTCAAAATGAAACATCAGCTGCTGTTTTCCTTTGATATTATTTAAAACTAAACATCACAAACTAGACACTTCCACCTTTTATCAAATTCTTGAAAGCAACAGGAAACGTGTCTTCTCCACCACCAGCTCCCCAGAGGGACGCCCAGGGGGGTCTCGGTGGGATCCTGAGCACAGGATATGGCCTGTGAACCAGGAACTGAACTGAATGGCTGAAACAGCAGCCCCCAGAAGTGCAGAGGTGAGGGGACGGGCAGGGGACTGCAGAGGCGTGCTGTGGGGAGGCGTGCATGGTGTGGGGGGGCACTCACCACGGGAGAGATGACCCATCACAGTGTAGAGGGTGTCACGGTGGGAGGGGCACATACAGGAGGGTTGGGGGGGGATGCATCATGGTGTGGGGGACGCACACCACGGGAGAGACGACCCATCACAGTGGGGGGAGGACATGTCATGGTGGGACAACCCATCATGGGGGGGGTCACACGCCACAGGAGGGATGACCCCTCATGGAGTGTGGGGGTGCATCATGGTGTGGGGGATGCACACCATGGGAGGGATGACCCATCACAGTGGGCAGGGTGCCATGTCATAGTGGGACAACCCGTCACGGTGGGGGAGGGGGTCACACGACACGGGGGATGCCGATCACGGTGGTGGGGGATGCATGCCACAGGAAAGGTGACTTATCATGGTGGAGGTGTGTGTGTCATGGTGTGCAGGACACGTCACAGGAGGGACGACCCATCAGTGTGTGTGGGTGGGGGGGCACATCAATGGTGTGGGTACATCATGAGAGGCCAGGCCTCCGTGGCATCGTGACACTTGCCCGAGGGTCCAGAGAGCCAAGAACCATCTGTCGTGAGTTGTTTTCTGAGTATCCTGGATCTCGCTCATCAGCCCCATAACCAGAGCACGGTCTGTGACTACCGTGTGCCCCTGCAGTGGGTGACCGGAGCCAGCAGAGCGGCACGCAGTGCTGGGGTCTCGGCTGGCGTGTGAACTGGTGGACAGGCTGGAGGCTAGAGGCATGGCTGACTGCCCACAGGAATCAGCGCCAGGGTGATGTGCAGCTTGGTTCTGGGCCCTGCCCTCATGCGGTTAGCCAAGGTAGTGACGCCACCATTACAGACGCTGGGCTTCCGCTAACACAGCCTGCCTGTCACGTTCCCAGGCCACCTGACTGAAGAGCCCACATTAGCACCAACGGGCAGGAGAGCCCAACAGAGTAGGGCAAACGGAGGCCGCAGGACAGGCACAGCGCCACCAGCTGACCTCAGAGTTCTTGGCTGGGGCTGGATGAGGGCTGCACAGGTGAGGGGTGCCCACCCTGGTCCTGGCACGCGGCAGGGCTGCACCAGCAACGGCGCCTTCTCACATGCACTCTGGTTTTCACATCGTGGCTCTAAGAGGCGTGTGCTCACTCATTGGCCGGGGTGTCTCCACCCAAGGCCACATGAGGTACGTCAGGCCACCATGCGCTGTGTCTGCACTGCGTGCTGCGGGCCTGCAGCACTACGCCCGGTGCCGACGGCAAAGACTCACCCTGAGCGGGAAGTTGAGCGGCCGGCGGTAGGGCTGGAAGCCGACGGGCCCGCCCTGCTGCAGGATGGCCTGGTGGGCGGCGTGCAGGCCCTCCCCCGCCACAGGGAGGGCGTTGTTGCGAGCGTGCTGGTTATTGTTCACCTGCTGGTTCACACTGTTCTCACTCTCCTCCTGGTCTCCCAGCAAGTAGGAGTGCAGGTCCCTGCGAGGAATTACAAAGAAAATCCTCACTCGGGGGCAGGACCAAAGGGAGACGGGATATTTCAATTCCTAGTAATTACAACCAAGGGGGGGAAGGTGGGCGTAGAACCTGCACACAGCACGGGCTCTTGCCTGCTTTAAAGGAAACCTTTCACACCTAGCTTCCAGGCACCCAAAAGTACTGTTGATTTTATCTGATTATTTTCAGTTAGTATCTGATAATTAGTATCTGAGAAAATGTACCGCGAACAAGACAATCTATGCGAGGGCCTTACGGAAACCTGAAAAAAATGTCACAAACAAGATGAGGGCGGGGGGAGGGAGGGCTCAGCAAACACACCCCAGCATCATCTCCTCTCTGCAGACGGCCCCCTGCCAAGTCACACAACCCTGAGTACTGGCACAGACTCGGGGAGGCCACAGCGGGACAGGGGCAAGAAGGGCAGAGGACCCAGATGCAACGACGGGGCTCCTCCCCTCGTCCAGAGCACAGAAGAATGAAGAAAACCAAAGATTTGTGGAAACTATTAGTCTAAGGGACTGGTACACCATGCAATCCTCAGCCTACACAACTATGAGACCAGAAGAACTAGATGGTGCCCGGCTACCACTGTCAACCACTCAGAGGGGGATCTGTGTAGATCTTAGATGGAGTGGGAGAATAATGTGGAACAAAATGCAAAATCATTAATAAAGGTAATGATAAAGGGACCAGGTTTGCTAGTCTGATAGAGCCTGATGAAACCGCTGAGATTATGGTCCCTAGCTGCCCTTCAGATCTGGAACTGAACCCACTCCTGGGGCTTCCAGCCAAACAAGACAGGCCTATGAGCTGAACATTTACATCAGGTAGATACACTCCTCAGAGGGACCAATCATGGGAGAAAGAAGGGCTGTGTGTGCATAGGGAGACGGCTCAGGGGACAGGAGTGCACGGAGGGAAACTGCATTGTGGGAAACTGCAGTCGGTGTCACGGAATGAAGTGTACGTGAGCTGCTGTATGAGAAAGGAATGTGCTCTGTAAACTCTCACCCAAATCACTATCAAATTTTAAAACAAAAGGGCAGAAGTGCAATGGGACAGTCACCTCCACAAGAGCCACAGTGGGCCAGGGACAAGAGAAGGGCAGAGGTGCAATGGGACAGTCACCCCAAGACCAGTGTTTCCAGTCACAACGATTCAGCTTTTCAGTGAGCACATGGTGGACAAAGCCTGGCAACAGCCAGTAAGTTCAACATCCAAGTGACCGAGAGGCCAGCCCCTCCCCAGGTCAGCCTCAAGGATCAGCCTCCAAGACCAAGGAGAGGGGCCTGTGCCCCAGTACTCAGCTGCCCTTCCCCTGGAAAGGCCGGTAGAATCTGGGCCGGCAGAAGCCCCAGTGACTCTCCGCGGGGGAGGAGTGGGCCCCAGCCTCCAACCATCAGTGTGACGGAGGCTGCCGGCCCACCGGGCTGCTCTGGGACGGTGTGTGTGTGGTGGGCTGTCCTGACAGCAAGTGCTCTCAGGCTGTGCACAGGGGCCGTACTCACAGCGAGTGCCCAGCAGCAACCGTCCAGGCCCGCACGAGCCCCTTCAGCCACTGCCGCGTGTGGCCCTGCTCCAGCAGCGCGGGCAGGATCACCTGCAGCAG